AAGAACTAAACAAAATGAACACAAAACGATCAGCTTTAAAAAAGGACTCGTAACTGGAAAAACCGAATTTAAAAAGAATGTTAACAACAACTACTTTTTCACACCCAACCCAGTTCCGCGGAATCAGAATCAACGTTGAGTTTAAGCAAGTGAATGAGCCAATTGGAGTAAAGTGCCATGCAGATTTAAATTTTTCCCACTTGTGACGAATGCAGCTATCGATTTTTGCATGCTAGCATACTAGTTAACATTCGTGTGAGTCAGCTTTTAACTCTCACACTGGCCAATAGAATCTTCCTGTCTATTCGTGGCAGCCAGCTATAGGCTCTCACTCTGGCCAGTAGAAAATGGCCGCAAACTATATGAAAACTGCCGTAGAAGCATGAAAAAATCGATTATTTCCACTATCGATGGGAGTTGGGAAATGAAAGGCACAATGTCGGTCTTGTCTGATTGGTTGGTATCTGTAGCTCAGTTGGTTAGAGCGTCCTGGATCTAATAGTAGCTCCTGCTTCCCAGGTTAGAATCCCGCTGGAGAGAGCAATTTTGTTTTTAATAAGATTTCTCGAACATTCAGGTCGGTAGACGAAAATAAATAAATGCCATCATCATTCGATCGTAGTAGGGATCATCGAGCCAATGCGAACAATCCTTTCTTTAGTTCTATAGTATTCTATATGCTAGGGTTACATACAGTTTTGAATTCAGAGTTATTTTCTCCTAGAACGGTTGCCACCCAAGGCTATAGGCGCCAATCTGTCCTGCTATTTACCCAAAGCTGGGCAGGTGGGGAGAAAGAAGAGGATTCATACCTTTCCCCATAAATTCATGTAATGGATCCGACTGAATTGAACTCGTCACTCCGATTCCTTAATTCGAGCCGCTATCCATTACTCCACCGTGTTATAATATATATATATATATATATATATATATATATATATATATATATATATATATATATATATATATATATATATATATATATATATATATATATATATATATATATATATATATATATATATATATATATATATATATATATATATATATATATACAATAAAAAAATATTAAAAATTAATATTAAAAAATTATAAAATTAAAATCTTCAATCACACTGGGTTGTAGATTAATATTCTTTCGTTTTTATTATTATTATTATTTCATTTAGATTCCTCGACTAGTTTCGGCCCCAAAATTGCCATCATCAGGAGAAGAAATATTTCTGCTTGCTGGTAGCAGTAAACTACAGAAATGAATGTCTTGCTGGAGAAAATGAACTTTTGTCTGTAGTTTTCATTTGTTTTTTTATTTTTTTATCTTTTTAACATGAATCTTTTAACATTCCTTGTGTTGGCCAAACAGTCTCTTTTAATTTGTTATTCGAGATAAGAGCTGGATGGATCTATGCTTCTCTGTATTCCCCTGGTCAGTTTGACAGTTTTATTGGCCCTGGAGAGGGGATGTGTCTCTGTTTAGTGTTTGTGTGTGTGTTATTTGGTTCTTAGGGAGTGAGTGAGTATGATATGTGTAAGCGTGTATATTGCTGTGGGTGTGTGTTATCATTTGGCTCATTAGGGAGTGAGTGAGTATGATGTGTGTAAGTGTGTATATTCGTGTGAGTGTGTGTATAAGTGTGAGGCCTCCACACCCCCGTAAGCATGTCTGTCTTGTGTGGGTGATAAATGTGGGTAGGTTTGATTTGTTGAGTTATATATTAGTACTATCTATATTGTTAAATTTCTGGTTTAGCCCGGCTGGATGTTGTGTTTTTTAGACGTTGTATCCACTTATTTTCATGGGACTCTAAAATCTTTCTAATGTTATCTGCTCTGAACTTTTCTTTTCTCTCAATTATAGTGAATTTGGCATGGGTTTTGAAATCGTGTTTTTCCAGGCGGAAATGTTGTTCTACAGGTAATAATTTTTCATGGGGAGTCGACTTAATTCGATTGCGATAATTATTAATTCTGTAGTGAAAGGGCCATTCAGATTTTCCTACATATTGTTTCTAGCATAGTGTGCATTCTAGGAGGTGAATTATGTTATGACTTCTAGAGTTAGAATCGTGGTAGATTTTGAAAGTAGATTTAGTGACTGAGCTAGTGAATGAATTTGTGTGTTAAATATGGTTGCAACATAAATTTCTTTTGTTGTTACATGGTTGGGAAAATCCTGTTGTTTTTGTTCTTAGTTTATTACGGATTACCTTGTCCCCTGAAATGTGGTTACTACCTATGATTTCTTTTAGGTTCTTAGGTCTACGATATGCAAGAAGGCCGGGTTCCTAAAACAATTTTTTTTAGGTCTGGTTTGAGATGTAGTATTTCCCAGCGACGTTTGATTATTTGGGATAGTGGAGGCAGAGTGGGGTTGAAAGTGGTTACTAGAGAAATGCGGCTAGATTTATTTTTAATCTTGTACATTAGGGTGTCTTCTCTAGGTGTGGAAATTACTTTATTTATTTGTTCCCTGATTAGGTGTTGTTTATAGCCACGTGTTGTGAATTGATGCTCCAGATTTTCAATGTGTTTATTTAATTCTTCATTGTTGGAACATATCCTTCTAAGTCTAAGTGCTTGTGAATAGGGAAGGTTCTCTTTGAGGTGTTTAGGGTGGGAAGACTTAAAGTGTAGATAGTTGTGGGTGTCGGTTATTTTAGTGTGTAGTGTCGTTTGTAGTTTCCTCTTTTCATCTATGTAAATGCGGGTGTCTAAAAATGTTACTGATGTTGTGGATTTTTGATAGTCAAATTTAATTGAGTCGTGCACCGTGTTTAGAGTCATAAGGAATTGGGTAAGTTTGTCATCACTACCCGTGTATACAAAAAATATATCATCGATATATCTTGCATAGAATACGCAGTCGCTACCAATGATTGGATAGATATGGGTCTCCTCAAATTTTCAATATATATATATATATATATATATATATATATATATATATATAACTATATATATATATATATATATATATATATATATATATATATATATATATATATATAACTTTAAATGTTACTTATAGAGGATACTGAATGTTCGGAAAATCTTATTAAAGAAAAATTTGAGGTCTTCTACAGGATTCAAACCGGCGTCTCTCAGGTCAGGAGGAGTTATCGTTCTTTATTAAGATTTTAGGAACAATCAGACCGGTAGACGAAACTAAATAAATATACCGCTTTATAAATAAACGGTGCATCCACTCAAATACAAGCATTCTCTAAAATAACGGTTATAGTGATAAAAAAATCTGTCTGATTAATAAAAATCCATTGCTTACTTTAGAAAAATACTAATTATTTTATAGTTGTACTATATCTGTGTGTCGATTTCTCGTGATTTAGTAGTTAGCAAAAGAGTCGCACAAGCTATTAATATTGTAATGATATCGATACTCACTGGGCGCTGCGTAAGTGCTTTTACAAGTTTACACTAAAAGGAAAAGCGTGACATGCAAATTAAAAACTGGAGATACCAAAATCAAGCAAGTGTAAGAATTTAAATGTCTGGGAAATGTCTTAACAGAGGACAAAATATGAGAAGCTGAAATTCGCAGCTGCATTGGGATAGTGAAATATTCTCTTCCAAAAGCTAAGCAAAAATTATCCTCAGGCTATATTGTACAGACATTTTATACTCATGAATTCTTGAACGTTTCCATGGAAAGTGAATACAATAAAACTGCCGAAAAATTAAAAATATATGTTTATCAACATTGCATTGTTACATATTGCATCTGGATTGTTGGTGCCTAAGCTAGCGAAAGATGCTTTCCAAAAAGCTAAGAAATTTCGTTAGAAAAAATAAAAGATTACGGAAAACCCTTCAGTCCTTCTACATGACATATAATGCTGGAAAATCTTCATACAGATGATGAAGAAGAAGCTTGAGTCGATAGAAATGTGATTCTATTGAAGGATGCTGAGAATATCATGGACCGAACATGTGAAGAATGGCGTATTTTTAGAAAAAATGGAAACAAAGCAAGAACAATTATAATTAGTATAAGAAAGTGACTGTTAAACGTTCTGGGACACATAATGTGGAAAGAGGGCTTGGAAAATTTGATACTTATGGGGCAGATTTATGGCAAGAGGAAAACATTGCGCAATATACCTAACAAGTTTGTGACAGAAGAAGGTTTAGGAGAGATAAAGAGAAGACATAATTTGATAAGATCTACAAAGAGTAAGAGATTGTAGAGATCCATGATCGTCAACGTCTTAAAAGGGCATGTCACATCGAAGAAGAAGAAGCTAAGCTTACGAAACAACAGTGTGATATAAATCTATCTATCATTCCTGTTTACTAGCGTAGTGGGTTGTATGTTGTTAAACGTCTCCTGTGGTCTTGAACCGGACATACCTAAGTAAATAACTAAGCTGGTCAGATCTATCATAAGAATGTTCTGTGATCGGGTGGAGAAGGCATAGTATAGTTATTTGGGAACGCACTGAGTAGGGAGCAGCTGCATGTGTCGGTAGAACTGTGAATTGAGTACGCATCGACGCCCTGAAATGGCCTGTTATTGCTCGAATAACGACGTTCGTCAGCCTTCGTTAATTTTTCTGTTGGTCGGTCACCTGAAAGTTGACGGACTGTCTCTTATTTCAGGGCGGAGTGTCTTGTTTGCGATTGGTAAGTAGACAGGTGAATATATTCGTCCGATAAGGAAGGAAATGGAAAGAAATTGGTTCAGCAAAAGAAGCAAAAAGATGAAGGGAAGAGAAGCACAAAAAAAACAAAAAACAAAAATGGGTAAAAATAACTATAAAGTGAGGAAGAGTAAGAAAGAGAAGAAATGAAAAAAAGATTAAAATAGGAGAAGGAAGAAACTTAGAGAGGGAGAGAGAAAGATAAAGAGAGAGCAGGAAAAAGAAAAAGTAAAAGAGGAAAAAAGATGAAAAGAGGAAGAAGTGATCAATGAAAGAGAAAGCAGTAATGAGAGTAAAAAAAAATGGAGGCGGAAAGAGAAGAAAAAAATGTAGAAATCAAAGGAAAGTGAAAGAAAAGACAAAAACGAGAGAAAGAGAAAATGAAATTAAAAAAAGAAATATGAAATAGAAGAAGAAAAAGTGGTTGAAAGAAAGAGAAAGAGAGAAAAACAGAGAAGAAAAGAGTATAAGAAAAGTGAGAGAAAAGGGTAAATGAGAGAAGTAAAGAGGAAGAAAGAAATTAAAATTAGGAGGAAGAGACAGAAAGAAACAGGCTGATAGAAAAGGGGAGGAAGAGATTGAAGAGATGAGAGGAAGATGGAAAGAGAGAACGAGAAGAATGAAAACGAAAAATGAGAAAAGAGATAAAGATAAAAAAAAAAAGAATGTCAGAGAAAGGAATATAAGTAAGAAGAACGTGACAGAAAGAGAGAAAAAGGAAAAAATAGGGAAAAGAAGAAGATAGAAAGAAAGAAAGAGAATGAAAAATTGAGTTAAAAATAAAGAAAAAAGAAAGAAGACGAAAAAGAAGGTGAAAGAACAAAAAAAGAAATGTAGATAGAATGAAAGTAAGAGAAAGTCACATAAAGAGAAAAAAGTGAGATAGAGAAAAGAAGAAAAAAAGAAAGAGAATGAAAAATTGAGTTGAAAACGAAGAAAAAGGGAAAGAAGACGAAAAAGAAGTTGAAAGAATAAGACAGAAAGAGAAATTATAAAAGAAAGAGAAAGAGAAGACTAAAAGAGAGAAGGAGGAAGAAATGTTGAAATTTGGTGAAAGAAACGGATAACATTGAAAAGTTATAAAAGAAGTGAATAAAATGGTAGATGTGACTGGAAAAAGAAAGAAAAAGCGGTTGTAAGGAAAAGAAAGGGGCTGATCGATTGATTTGTTTTTTACGACTTATCAACCTTTTGTAGGTTATATAATGACTGAAAATATTTTTACATTATTAGAACTTTTCAGGAGATAAAGGTTTTTAATGATGCATGATTTGCTAATTAACCCATAGGTGTAGGGAGAAGGATTGGATTCATGCCTTCCTCAAGGTTATTTGCACGTAAGTCAATATAAAGAACACGACTTCAACAGGAACTCGATTTTCTGCTTTCCAGTTCCGAGTCTTCTTTATCCATTCCATCACCCGCACATCCAAGCTTACAGCCCCTTGTATCCCCAAGCGATCACTCACCTTGGTGCTGACAGGGCTCGACGCCGTTTAAATATAGTGATCGTACAAAAACTGGTATTTTAAGGTTGTTGTAGATTCCGGGTTGAAATCCGGTACCAATAAATAACAAACGCCAGGAATGAATATATGAAAATAATGTATTAACGTAATAATACAAACTGGTAAAGCAGGTTAGTAGTTCCAGGAATACGGGTTAGTAGCAATATATATATATATATATATATATATATATATATATATATATATATATATATACAGTCTTTAGTATTAAAGTATCGCTGTATGACTTCTTACTGAGTCTACGTGCTCGCTCACTGTGACTCCTACAACGCTGTTACCTCACCCTCACTCTTCCGGTTACCTACAACCTTTTACTCTGTCACAATGGACTCGACTCGACTCTTGTCTTGACTCTCCAGGTATTTTCTGGCAGTAGTATAAGTATACACTGGGTGAGTCCATTTGTATAAAAACGAGTGGACTCCTCAACAAAAGTGATATGGCCGTAAGCTATAGAAAAGGGAGACGAAAAGAGAATAAAAGAAACAAGAAAAGAAGAAAAAAAGAGAAAGATATAATGAGAAAAAGAAAGAAAATAGCGAAAGAGAGAGAGAGAGAGAGAGAGAGAGAGAGAGAGAGAGAGAAAGCAGAGGCTAGAGTAGTAGGGAAGAGACAGAAAGAGCAAGATAGATTTGGTAAGAGTGTAAGATCGATGATAATTAACAGAAAGAGAGAAAGAATAGTAATGGAAAGGCGCGAAAAGAGTATTCGGATGAACTGGATATAAATCCCTCTTAGTCTGTAACAATAAACATCATCGTCCAAAATAGAGGGTGTGGCAGAAATTCCTCCAGTATATACGTCCCTGAAATACCTCCCACATATTGGTAAGATATTAGCAGGATGAAGACACCTTTACCACTACTGTATTACCTTTTTGTGGGAGGTATTTCTGGGAAGTATATGTAGAAGTTATTTCTGCTGTACCCTGTACTGCAAGAATCTTTTCAATAATGATGTAAAACGTATATCTCACCGAGTTGAAGAATAGATTCATTTTTTGTTTTAATTATTAATATACGAACTTTGGGCTTGAAATACGTCACACTGGTAAGAAAATACAAATATTAATAATACTAATCCACTGAGCGAGTGTGGTCGTAGCGTCACTGCGATGTTGGCAACCGGGCCAGTTCCCGCCACATATATGAGTTAAAAGCTGGAGAAGTGTTCATTCATGCGTAGGCGTGTTTTAAGAAAGTACCCATCTGGCGGTACCCATCCCTCTCCATATCAAACCTCAGCCGATGTCCTTCAACTTGAGAGCTCGACGTGGTCACGGACACGTGATCGTTGATTCAATCGAAGGAACTCGCCTTTGCCGATGACTTCAGTCTAGGAAGCCCTCCGTCCAACGATACAGTGTTACAATCCTTTCTGTGAACTCAGCGGGCATCTAACACACTGATGGCCGGGCTATGTAGTTATGTACATGTATGACACGGCATCACTGGATATGACACGATACTTAAGGATATACGTACTTTAAGATAATTGTACTTAAGGATATCGATAGTCGTAAAAATATTTCTAATATATTTATTTAGATTTATTTTATATTATTTTACTTTTTATAAAGTGTTCACAATTATGAAGAACATACGCACCGATTGACAACACTAAATAAATGGGCAAGGAAATATTTTTCGGCATGGATTGTAAAATCTTAAACCATATAATAATTATCAATGTGTATTTTATATATATTTTTATTTATATATTTCCCGTCACATCTGTAGTGGAAAGGGAGGTGAATCAACTTATGAGTGATTGTTGTGCTTAGTCGTATTAATAATCTATAGAAATATAACGCCATTCGTGGCGAAACTGTGACGAGTTTTGTGACCACCTTCTCTCACGGTTGAATCCACTTTTCCTGCCTCACTCATGGCATCCTTTGCATCGTTCTGTAAAACCACATCTCAGTTGCCTCAAGTTTCCTCTTCATCTGTGAGTTGATTATCCAGCATCCATTGCCATATATACGAGGAGTGATATTACACAGGTCAGCAAATTTTTGTTTCTTAAGAGATTTTCCTATTTCACTATTCCGATGTGTTGTAGAGTAGTTTTCACAGTGGAGGCTTGTATTTCACTAAGTCTGTCCTAAAAGAGTCCGACGTACAAAACGTTAGGAACTTGAAATAAGAGTTAATGACGCAGCAATCTAGTTGTGATGGTTGATACTTCAATGTCCGACATCGACTGACTCACTCAACACCACTGAGCCCAACTGGCGACCGCTAATATTAATTATTATTTGTGGGAGAGTCTATTAATAATAGAATAGGCACGTCAGGCATAACACGATGCTCCTTCGGATTTCGGTGTCACATTTTCCAGCCTCCTTCCTAGAAACTTATGTGCTTGTTTGATTATGATATCTCCAATTTGTTGCTGGGTTGTACCTTTTGCTGACGTTCACAAAGAGTCCCTGCAGTTTTATTCTTGTCTCTGCTATCAACACTGTGTCTTCTGTTTTACTTAACAGCAGGGTCTTGCAAAGAGCATTCTGCGTTCGTTTAGGATTGTAGAAATATCAGGGTTGGGTCCACAGAGCTGTGATTTAATTGGATGTCGTCTCCAAGAGATGTTAAGTATAGCTCTTAGCATCCGAGTGTGGGTTCCATTAAGATTAGACTCTAAAGTTTTAGTTAATGTCCAAGCAGTGGTTTCTAAATCGTTGTTGTTGCTCGCTCGTCCATGTTCACACACACACACACACACACACACACACACACACACACACATATATATATATATATATATATATATATATATATATATATATATATATATATATACGCATGGGTACTGGCATTTTATACTCGTGGATATATATTGAATGTTTACAGGCAAAGTGAATACAACAAAATTTCCGAAAAATTAAAAATATATGTCATCATTACATTCTTACATCTTGCATTTGGTGTTTTGTTGCCTAGGGTAGCGAAAGTTGCTTTCCAAAAGCTAAGCAAATTATTAAGAAACAGGAAAAAATCGTTACAAACACAGAAAAAGTACTTACGTAATATCAGTTCTCCTATATGGCAGCTAATGCTGGACAATCTGTTCACAGATGAAGAAGAGATTTGAAGCAATAAAAATATGGTTCTACAGAAGGATGCTGAGAATACCATGGATCGAACATGTAAGCTACGACGAAGTTTTAGAAAAGAATGGAAACAAATAGAACACATACATGACATCAGAGAGACAGTTGAAATTTCTAGGGCATATTATGAGGAAAGAGGACTTGAAAAATTTGATGCTCACAAGACTGGAACTTGTGGAGATCCATGATCGCTAACACCCTGAAGGAAACACCACACAAAAGAAGAAGCTGTTGAAATCGTCATCACCATCGTAAGCAAATCCACCTTAATAGACGACGGGAGATGTGACACCAAAATTAGAAGTGACATCAGAATAGCTAAAGATGCCTTTCATAATTAAAGAAAAGCTTTTAATCCTCCTATATGGAGGTGAATGTTGAACAATTTTCTAAGAGTTGAAAGAGATAAATATGTGTCGACAGAGATGTGGTTCAACAGAAAGGTGCTGAGAATATTATGGACAGAACATGTGCGCAACGTGGAAGTTTCAAGGAAAATAGAAACGAAAAACACTCAGAATACGAAAAAGGCAGTTTATATTTATGGGACGCATAATGAGAAAGGAATGCTTGAAGAAATTGATACTCACAGGACATACTGAAGGCAAGAGAAGAAAACAGAGAGTAACATAAATAACAAGCATGTGGTAGGACAGGGAGTATGAGCTTCAAATGATAGGAAGTTGTGGAGGGACATGATAATCCTCTTTCTGGAGGGACATGGTTCATAGAAAAAGACTTATTTTCGCCGTTTCAAAGTTTTCACAATGAAGCAGTGTTTACGAAGAGCAGTCTTTAGAAGGATATATGAATGTTTTCTTTGGAAACCATTCATTTGTGTCGACGGTTTTCAATTTTTGTGGCCTTGTGTCAGACTAAGGCAAACGATTTGAACATGAGCTCAGATCGATGAGTCTAAAATTAGCTGACTGTTATTTAAGCACGAGCTTTATTAGGAGAGAATGAAATCGCTGAATGTGCATGTGCATTTCAATTGAGATATTCATTGCGAGATGAAGCTAAAGAAACAACCGGCGTACGACTGACGAGCAGATGCAGAAGCCAGCATTTTGAAATTTGTGAATGAGAACGGGGACGACGGCAAAGTAGACGCGCGACGAAGTAGCCGTGTTTATTTGCGATCGTTAGCGTCTTTAATCAAATTCGATCTCTACAGAAGGATCCTATTTAGGGGGAAGCCAACGCCACTGGTGCGAAAATTGTCCAATCAACTTTTACGTAGGCCGGCACACGATATCAATGGTCCAGAAAAAAAAAGAGAGAAAGAAAGAAGAATCCTCGAATCCATACTTACTGTTCTCGCCCCACCCACCACAAGACCCCCGGACATTCAGGGAGGGGACTTGGATTCTTTTCGTTCTTTAATTCTCTTTTCAGCTTGCCAAATTACTGCAGCCCGTCCGTTTAATACGAGAAGTGCTTTTCAAAATGTACACCAGCATTGATGCCTTTGATCACAGGCTGTTTCTCGGCTTTGTGCGGTAATTACAGATCCGTTTTCTAAGTATATTAATGCGCATGCGCTCACATTTTCTGATCTCAAAGCATTTAATTGATGTTTATTTTTTTTCTTCACCTAATTTCATAAACGGAGAGAAAAATGTAAAATACTATAGCGTTTCATTAAAAAAATCAAAATAAATCTTTCCTTTTCTTATGTGCTTGAAGGTGTAGGTAAGTGAGGAGAAAGCACAAAATTACAGAATGAGAAGTTTGAGAGACTTGTTAGTAATTTGCCCTAAATAAATATATTCACTTTAAAATATAATCAAACTGTAATCCTTCACAAATATATTTTCTAAATTGTTACCGATATCAACAGTTTTGATGAGATTTTTATGCTCCTGGGACATTTGACCCGCAAACAATTTTGACGGACTCATGTGAGTCCAGGGAAAAATTAAAAAAATAGAATTTAATCAAATAAATATTAAAAAAATACATTGATTGGACATTTTGCAAAAGGAAAAATGAAATTAAATATGAGGAGTTCAAAGCAAGCTGCAGTGTATGTAGTTGAGATACTTACATGTCGGTAGGAGCGAAAGAATACGCCTTTCCGCTATGAAAAGTCACCGAGAAATAGATGGATTGTTTCAAATTTCGCGCCACGTGTAATTATCGTCAGAGACGGTAATTCAAAATCTCGCCGCTTTGATTATCATAGAGTGGCGGTAATCCAAAAAATACAAATAATCCTATAAAATACCGTATTTGACGGCATATATGGCGCACTTTTTATACTAAAAATATCTTTTAAAATACCCCTGCGTCTTATTTACTGTATGTAGGTTTACTAATTTTACTAATTAATAATTTTTTCTTGATTTACCCTGTTGAAATTTGGGTGCGTCTTATACATCTGCGCGTCTTATATGCGTCACATGAGTATTCTTTTTTGTGTTGTCTCATATCGGTACGTGCATAGTTATGAGTCTCCTAGCTTCCCATTATTTCTAGTCCTAAACAGTGTTTGTCCCATTACGATCCCACTCAGATCAATGGTAATTCGATGTTTCCTCTGCTCTTCTTACCTTTAGCATGTCCTGTGAGTTTTAAATTCTTCAAGCATTTCTTCCTCAGGATGTGTCCAAGAAATTTAAACTGTCTCTTTTTCATTCTAATTGTAAATGTTTTTTCGTCTCCATTTTCTTAAAACTTCTTCGTTACGTATATGTTCTGTCCATGATATTCTCTGTGTCCTTTTGTAAAACCACCTTCCCTTCAAATCTCAACTGAATCTTTCTGGGAACTTTCTTCCGGCTCTATGCTTCCAGCCAACTTTAATCTTCAAGAATTTCAATGCAGTGTCAATCGTTATGTGATGTCCTCCACACTACTCTTCTTTCTTTCCCGCTCTTTAGTAATGTTTCTGTTTTTTGATTCTTTCACACCCTGTAAATCTCTTTTGTCTTAGTGGCTTTACAGCCTTGCTTGGGGTGAACTTGCTTAAAAAATGTCCAATATTCACTGCCATATGTGAGGATAGATACTGCATAGCAAGACGACACTCTTTTCTTCATATTTTTTTTTTAAAAAGATTTCCTATCTCTGAATACTTTCTTTAGTTTCTGAGAGGCATTTTTTTCTATTACAATGTATCTTCGGATTTCTGTACCACATTTTTATTTGTCCTTTACAACACGCCCAGTTATATTTCTGTACCTATTTGATTGTGACGTTTCCATTTTGTAACTTATTCTTTCGGTCGTCCCTTTTGCTGATGATCTAACATAATAATAATAATAATAATAATAATAATAATATTCAATCACCTACTCTACATGGATGATCTCAAACTCTTTGCCAAAGACGACAATGAGTTGAAAGGCCTCCTCAATATTGTAAAATACTTCAGTGACGACATAGGTATGGACTTCGGATTAGATAAATGTGCAAAAGTAACTTTCAAGAAAGGTAGAATTACAGAAACACGCTTAATAGATTTAGATTTTGTCACAAAGATTAGGGAACTGGAGCATGGTGAAGCTTATAAGTACCTAGGAATTAGCGAAGGAGATGGCATACAACACTCCCAAATGAAGGAAAAAATAAGAAAAGAATACTACAGGCGTGTACGTCTGGTACTAAATACTGAGCTGAACTCAAAAAACAGGATATCAGCCATAAACACATTGGCTGTCCCTGTGGTGCAATACAGCTTTAATGTCCTTAACTGGGCCATAGCTGAAATTAAGCGACTGGATGCCAAAACGAGAAAGCTACTCACTTGCTATCGCATGCATCATCCCAAAGCTGATGTCGACCGTCTGTATGTGTCCAGATCCGAAGGAGGCAGAGGATTAGTTCAACTAGAACTGTCCTACAAAACTACAACAATTGGCCTCCAAAGATATTTGGAAACTACAGAAGACTGGATGATGGTGTGCGTCAAGGAACATGAAAGTAGTAAGCGTCTCTACTCCGTAATGAAGGAAGCCAACAAATTCAAAATGGAGTTCCAAATGGGCGTAGAGATGCAACTACAGCACAATACACCGGCTGAAACTGCAAAATACCTAAAAAGATAGCTAAGACAAATGCAACAGACCAGTTACAGAAGCGATCGCAAGATAAACCGCTTCATGGCCAATACTCTGCCCGTACCAAACAAGCTGACGTAGACAAAACCCGTACCCATCAGTGGCTACGTAGTGCAGGGTTGAAAGCGGAAACTGAAGGTTTTATCCTTGCTGCGCAGGACCAATGCTTGCTAACTAGGAATTATCAAGCACATATACTAAAATATTGTGTCAGTCCAAAATGCAGATTCTGTGATAAATATCCAGAAACGATTGATCATCTTGTAGCAGGTTGTACGGTGTTGGCACCCACTGAATATAAAACCCGACATGACAGAGTGGGCCAATATCTGCACTGGAAAATCTGCAACTTTTACGAGAAGGAAACTGAAAGAAACTGGTATGAACACCACCCAGACCCGGTTACGGAGATAGGGCCTGTTACAATTCTATGGGACTACACAATACACACTGACAGAACAATCAAGGCCAACCGCCCAGATATTGTTATTAAAGACCATAAACAAAAACGGTGCCTCCTTATTGATATGGTAATCCCTGCCGACTGCAATGTATCTTTGAAGATATTCAAAAGTTGTCAAAGTACAAGGACCTTGAAAATAGAAATCGCGAAAATGTGGCATATGGGAACATCAACAATCCCTGTTGTAGTTGGAGCCCTAGGACTGGTTGGAAAAGATTCCAGTAGACTAATTGAAGGGATACCTGGAAGTCCATGCCTCAAGGAGATACAGAAAATTGTTCTAACAAGTACAGCCCACACCTTACGAAGGGCTTTATCTATGTAATCTTTTTCTTTCTTTTTTTTTTTTTTTTTTTTTTTGTCAGTGGAAAGTGTCATGACGCCATTTCTAACCTTAGGTCCCTGGGCGGGACCCGGAAAGAAATGTGTAAACGCCAGAAATCAAAGAAAAAAAAATATAATAATAATAATTTATTTTTTTATTCTTGCTGAACAGTACCAATGCTTACTATCTAGAAATTACCAAGCACAAAAATTGAAAAACTGCTTATCCCAAAATAAAGATTCTGTGATTAATATCCAGATATAAATTGGCCATATTCTACCAGGTTGTACAGTGTTAGCACCCAGTGAATATAAAACTCGGCATGACAGAGTGGGGCAATAACTGCACTGTAAAATATGCGACTTTTACGAGAAGGAAACTGCAAGTAACTGGCATGAAGATCACCCAGAACCAGTTACAGAGATAGGACTTGTAACAATTTTATGGGACCTTACAATATACACAGCAGAACGATCAAAGATAATCCCCCCAGATATCACAATGAAAGACCACAAAAACAGAATCTGCTTTCTTATTGACATGACAGATTGTAATGTATGTTCCAATAAATAAATAAAGAAACTATCAAAATACAAGGATCTTCAAGTGGAAATCTCAAAAATGTGGCACATGGGGACTTCAGTAATTTCAGTTGTAGTTGAAGCCCCCCGGACTGATTGTAAAAAGTTCCGATAGACCCATGGAAGGGATTCCTGGTAGCCCTTCCCTTAAGGAAATACACAAAATTGTACTCACAAGTACAGCTCACATATTACGAAGAGCTTTATCTATGTAAAATGTGTGCGTGTTTATTCTTTTTCTTTTGTAAAAATGATCAGTGGAAAATGTCATGAAGCCATTTCTGACCTTAGGTCTCTTATTGGGACCCGGAAGGAAATATGTAGACAACAAAAACCAAGTAAATAATAATAACAATAATAATAACAAAATAACTTCTTGTATATCAACCAAAATTAAATTAGATGCTTGGTTGTTTACAATAAATATATCATCCCTCACTTAATATATTTTGATGTTATCGATAGAAAAAAAATAGGGAGGAATGTTATTTATACACTGTAAAAAATTGATACAAATCTGAAAGGTTTCTGGCCCAATCAAATGATCACACACAAAAAATGCAAATACATGATCAATTGAATTAGGATTTTTAAAATGTCTCTTTTCATTTTTATACTTTTTTTTGTATATCTCTGCTATCTTTGTTTTTTTTTTTTCATTTTTCCTTATCTCCGCGCTCTTTCACATCCGTTGCGTTTTTTTAATGTTATTCTTGTTTTCATCTATTTTATTTTATTCGTGTTCGTCTATGATAACGTTCATCGTCTGCTTTTCCCTCAATTGTTCGCTGACATCTGTTTTCGGCCTTCCATTTCGCTTTCCTTTACTTAAATTTCGCATTTGAAACAGAAATGTTAGGAGAGGAAAAATATTGCACAGATAATTTGTATGATCATAGAAGCAGAGAGAGAAAGAAAGAGAGAGAGAGAGAGAGAGAGAGGGAGAGAGAGAGGGGAGAGATATGTAACGAAACAAAGAAGAGAAGAGAAGAGAAGCGAAAAGGGAGTGGGGGAGGTTGCAGCTTTATACTGTATTCGACAAGATGGTGCCTAAGCTTTTAGGCAAAAGTTTCCAGAATACGCCATTAACACGAACTGGGACTCTGAGATTTCAGGACTGCGTACAGAAAAAAATTCTTCCAACGTATGTGTAAACACAGACTTACGTATGATGTACTTGTTGGTACAATGTACGCATGCGCAAGTTAATTCAATCCCGGAATTGTCCACAACCCTGTAACTCTTACACGCACCAAATAATTTTAGTATGTAAACAATATATTGTATCATATTTGTTTCGCATGTGAACAGATATATTATTCTAAACAGGGTTTGGCATAAGATATCAAATAAGACGTAACTATTTATCTGTTAACTTGCTTGTTGTCTGAGGTAGTTGAGCAAGCGTGATTCGAGTCCAACTAAAAGCTAAACTTTCAAGTGTTGAATAACAATGAAGACAGGGGGACGCTCACCATTTGTAAGATGTTCTTACTATCACTATGTAGACCGGCACCAGAATAACGCTATTGATGAAATTGAAATCGACCGTTTCCACACAGGATGCATTAAGAATTCATTGACCAAACAGTTAACATCATTCTTGATTGAAATTTATGAAATAATTTTTCAGGATTAATAGACGTCTCGAGTTCACTAACTAATAGACGTCTCGAGTTCAACATATTTATATACGCGCAAATATCCTTGGGAACGGTATGATGCTAACTCTTCTTCCCACCAGTTATGGGTTAATTAGTAGGACGTGTATCAAGTTAATCATTATTATCTCTAACAAATTATTGCATTCTAAAAAATTTTCTGGCCTTACATAACCTGCAAAAAGCTGATAAACCGTAAAAAAATCTTACCAATCGTATTGAAAACACTATATTCAAAGACAGATAATTTTACAGCTAGGTGGTTATTTGAGATCTATGTCAAAATCAGATATATTTGCATCCAAAAAGTTATTGAAGATGTACATCAAATCTATTTTTACATCTCTTCTCCACTGGACCGTGTAATGTTTACTGCGATGCATATTGACATGACTTCTGAAATTCGTAATGAAAAGTGATCCTTATCCTGGTCCAACGGCTGAAAATGGTGGTAAATGACGTCTCTCCTCAGTACTCTTTCTTTTTTTGCTCTATGTTCATTATCTTACGCCATTACACATCTATCTATCTATCTATCTATCTATCTATCTATCTATCTATCTATCTATCTCAGACTTTTTCTGACCCATCTATCTATCTATCTATCTATCTATCTATCTATCTATCTATCTATCTATCTATCTCAGACTTTTTCTGATCTATCTATCTATCTATCTATCTATCTATCTATCTATCTATCTATCTATCTATCTATCTATCTATCTCAGACTTTTTCTGATCTATCTATCTATCTATCTATCTATCTATCTATCTATCTATCTATCTATCTATCTATCTCAGACTTTTTCTGATCTATCTATCTATCTATCTATCTATCTATCTATCTATCTATCTATCTATCTATCTATATCTATCTATCAGACCTTTTCTGATCTATCTATCTATCTATCTATCTATCTATCTATCTATCTATCTATCTATCTATCTATCTATCTATCTATCTATCTCAGACTTTAATGGATTTAATGTAACTATGAAAACAAAAATATTTCACTATCTATGTATCTATTGATTTGATCCTTATCCTATCTATCTATCTATCTATCTATCTATCTATCTATCTATCTATCTATCTATCTATGTGTGTGATTTATATATATATTATTTATATATTATATATGTGCGTTACTTATCGGAAAGCTTTCAATATCAGTGATAGAGTTAACATACTTAGTTGTATGGATGTGAATTTGTAACCCTAGGTTTCACGCTTTTGCGATCCTCAGATAAACTGATTTATTTGTTAAAATTTGAATTTATTTATGTCAGTTTCTGTTTCATAATGTTTGGTGGTAATGGGGACGGGGAAGTTCTCCTCTGTGTCTGTTTTGGGATGCTACTAGGGTACCTCAGCGTGGTGCAATGGTTAGCAAGCTTGCCTCGCTACATCAGTTACGACTGAAATGTGAGTTCGATCCTCACTAGGTGCTCCATACTTTCGGTCTTGTGCCTCATCTAAGCTAAGTTTAGAAAATAAACAGACGTACGCAGACATACACGCAAGTGTACGTATTGTTGTTCTCACAAACATATACATATATGAACAATGCGTAGACATGTGTCCATGTGTTTGAATACGTATACATACGCAATTGTGGTCGTTTCGGTGCTGAGATTATCTAGCGAAGTTCCTTTTCAAAATGGGTGTTTTGTAGCGTTCGTCATCTTTCAGTCATATATTTCTAACAGCTCGGATCTTACATTGCTTAAAATGGGTTTTGTATATAAATATAGCTGTGAAAATGATATTTTTATCTTTATTTTTAACGTTTCTTGCTTGTGTATTATAGACGATTGCACTTATATAAAAAGAGAGAGAGACAGCAAGCGAGTGAGAGATAGATAGATAGATAGATAGATAGAGAGAGAGATAGATAGAGAGAGAGATAGATAGATAGATAGAGAGAGAGAAAGAACGACATTCTTATTCAAATGTTATTCAAACGAGGGGGACTCTTTGTTATCCACTGAATAGCTCTGATGTTCATGTTTCCGCGGTCGTATCGATTGCACTTTGTCTTATCACCGGTAATTATCCAGTCATACATCTCTACATTATTCAAATAATCTGTTGAAACGAGAAGCCGATGTTGATTTTGCTCCTTATTCAAATTTTAATGTACATTTTGCAGGAAGTTTTTCTTATTTGCAAATCCTTTCTTAGAATTTCTTTCTTCTTTTTCTTTATAACTCTTTTTCTGATGAAGCTTTAATAAAAGTGAAACATGTGAGATTGATTCTGTCGGATTCCGATCCATATCTGATATCAATTCACACACACACAAGCGCGCACGCGCACACACACAGGCATCGAAATTGGATTGTGTTCTCTCGATCACTGGCGTGTTTATGAAAAAATAAATACTTAAAAATTCGCCTTTCTCTCTGTCGGGAGTTGATAGGCTAGGGGTTAGAATCTCCGACTGATGCCAAATCGGTCTGGTTTCGGTCAAGCTTGATTCGATCGGATGTCTAGCCACACTGATGAACTTCGAAACAGCGAAACAGTCTGTCTGTGGATGACGATATTAGCTCCCGAAAAAATAATAAAATCGGTAGAGAGCAGAAGAGCGCGACTTTGTAAACAGTCACTATTACTGCTGACAATGCAAGACTCTCCGAACTGGATTAAGTTCTCTCGGTCACTGGCGTGTTTATAAAAAATAAATACGTAAAAATTCACCTTTCTCTCTAGGGCTTAGAATCTCCGACTGATGCCAAATTGGTCTGGTCTGATGAGCTGTGAAACAGCAAAACAGTCTATATATATATATAACTCCCACCACCCTCAACCGCATTAGACATGCTTACAGAGGTGAAGAGGTCTCCCATACACACACTTATGCACAAATATATGCACATACATGCATTATACACACTCCACAAAAAATAAAAGATAACGTATACATAACATACAGATTTCCAGCAGCCAATAAAGGTGTCAAAATGACTAAATGGGTACAACTGAGGCTCATGGGTTACTGACCTCTCCTTAAAAAACAAAACAAAAAACAACGAAGACTACAGGTCTACTTCAGTTTCCTCAGGGACTGTCCTTCACCCCTGTAGTTCACTGCTACTAACAAGCATGGATTTTTCTCCTGATGATGGCCATGTTGACAGAAACTAGTCGAAGAACCTCATTAAAAAAAATATTAATATACAACCCAGTGTGTTTGAAATTTTATTTTTTAACAATTTTCATTGTTACATTATATATATATATATAATTGTTGAAACAAAGCAGTGGCTTCTCAGATGGGGAGAGCTCAAGGAGCGTGAGGACCTTGATGAGGGGGAACGCTGGTACCAGCAGCATGGTGCTCCTTCTCACACCACTAATGTCGCCATGGCATGACTCCGTGAAAAGCTTCTCATCAGGCGCAAAGATGAAGTAGAATGAGCACCTAATTCGCCTGACCTAACCTCCTCCATATTTCTTGCTCTGTTGAAGGGCAACATCACCAGGGCAACCACCCTCGTACCATTGCTGCATTGATGGCAACAATCACTGAGAAGTTTCAAGCGATCATCTAAGAAGTGTGTGCACGCATTATCAACAACTTTGCATTCAACACTGCCTTCAATTGAATGGCGGACATCTGGAGCATGTACTCTAGGGCTTCTCTTAACATTTTTGGTTCATGTTGCAGATCCTAAAATTTTACCATTTTAACTTTCAATAAATGCAATTTCCATAACTCTATCATTTAGGTTTCTTGCTTTGTACCTGATCATTTAGGTTTACAAACTGTGAAACACACTGTATAAATTATCTGGTTCTAAATTTAAACCTTGGGACGTTTTGAACGAAATTCTATCGCGTTCAAATGTTTGTAAAGTTCAAATATTTAAGATAGAATTAACATTCGTTTACCTGTAAAAAGTAGAAATATGAGATTTGACAATAAGTTCACTAGAGTTTTCATCTGGCCCTGACAAGCGTTTCGACAAAGAAACTCTTGAAATTGCTAATCAGATAAGTCACTTGAACCTTTAGTAATTTATTGAATATTATAATTTGATGGAGTAATGGATAGCGACTCAGATTGAGGAATCGGAGATCCGAATTCGAATTCAAGTCGAATCCATTACATTCTCTTAACCTTGGGAAGGATATGAATCCTTTTCTCCACCCCACCAGCTATCGGTAAATGGACGGCAAATGATCTACCGCAAAAAGTAATGGCAACCTACTGCGGTAAAAATCTGCCTCGTCAGTCATGTATCGAAAGATACATAAACGCCTAAGCGTGTATCACGCGTGGCACATAACTGACTGAGATATATATTCCACGCTTTTAGGCAGAGGTTCTGTTAGTTTGAAAAAACACGTAATAATATTCTTGCAATTTACATGTTTTTTTCTCAGTTGTGTGTGTATATATATATATATATATATATATATATATATATATATATATATATATATATATATGTATGTGTGTGTGTGTGTGTGTGTGTGTGTGTGTGTGTGTGCGTGTGTGTGTGCAGGTTTTTACATATAGGCGAATTAACCGTCATTTGTCCCTATGTGCCAACCAGAATTCTCTTGTGTCGTTGCGTTGTCTCTCCCTGAATGTCTTTGATCTAAGGCCAGCTCCAGCTGAGTTAAGTGTTCACATCCGACGAACAACCTGTGTGACAAAGTTATAGTTAGACGAATGGCAGGGAAGATGGATGACAAATATAAAAAAGCAAATCTTAAAGAGCTAAATAAAAAGAAATTACAGCTAAATTAAAGTTATCGGAAAATGAAAACTTCCGAGTTAATATAAATAAATTCGAAAAACTGCTACAAACTCAACAGAAGTGCCTCTACAAAAGCTTTTATCTGAACGAGAATAAACCGTAATAACTCGAGTGTAATTATTATCAGAGCACTCTAGCTATACCTCACAATATAACCAGTCTTACTTCAGAGTCTGATAGGTTCGATAAAGTCAAATTGGCAACTAATCCTGAAAAAGATCTTCAATCTATTATTAACTGGATCAAGAAATGTCTTGCTAATTTTAATGCCTCCAAACCTAAACTGCTCTCTTTTAAACGTCTAAGAGAACCTTTTCTTCTTTCGATCAGTACGACTGATGTTAACACCCAGGAAATAAATCATTAAGCCTTCTTGATCTAACGTTTACCACTTATATAAATTGGAACGATTATATTGAGTCTGCTGCTAGAAACGTGCTGTACTAGACAATAGTTCTCACCAGAAACAGTCTTGCAAATCCATCTGACCATTCTTGCAATGAATATTGTTGCCACATCTGGTCTGGCACTTCACCAATGTATCTAGAAATTCTTAAGTGGATGTATGATTAGTGTAATAAATTATTATGAATATAGGGATGAAAAATCCAGTTCGAA